GAATAACTATGAGCAAAAGAATTGGAATGCAAGGGTACCCCCATATATAGTAACTGAACTCAGATTGAAAACAGTAGGTCATCTGAAACACTTGATAAATGGACTGTCCTTTTAGACACAAAAAGTTACAGAGCACTGAGGTTTACAATCTCACCAACTTTCAGGTCAAAGCAGTTATCAACCTTCGCTGTACCAAAGCTAGTTAAATGGAAAAAACCCTGAAGCTCAATATTCATTTTGTCTACTAGGACTACATACACATGTAAAACACTTAGGAAATCTAATTAGAAAACAGTTTTAGAATTATATTGTCAATAAACCAAACAAAATTGTCTAAATCAATCACCAAAAGCCACAGGCTTGCTAAAAACCCCTAACATAACTTCCTGTTTAGGTTACTCAATCACCTTCTCAAACCGTGATTAAAGTAAACCCACTTCTGTAGAAGTGGAAAATTAAGCATCCGTTTGCAAACTTATTTATTCCAACCTCCCCAAAAGAGATAAAGAGAATTTTTTAAGGGTTTTTTGAGTTTTGGGGTTGTCTTTTTTTAAGAAACATCTACAGAACTATAGGCCAGCAGCTTCCTAGAGGCCAGATCTGTAATAAATCACTTTCTTCTTGAAGTAAATCTTATCTGCTACTACACACATTCAGAGATATTTACACAGGCAACAAATACTCAACATCCAGATTTATAATCCTAAAGTAACAGGAGAACCTGAAAGAGAAGCGATACAGTGGCAGGATCTCTAAATATACCATGTTATACAGGCAAAACTGTTCACTGATACAGACCTCTGACCCAGTAGTATTTATTCTACAACCCAAAGCCATCAACCTGGGCAGGAGCATTTACTGATGAGGGCCAGCTGTCTTATAAAACACAGAACAGACTGTCACCATGGGCTGCAAGCTGTTTAGCAACCATTATGTGTCCAAACAAACATATGCCAAAGGGGGACATTTTTCCAGATTGCCCAGGTATATTCAAATCTGCAATATTCAGGAATATCCAGATCCACATTCATCCACTAACAGCTATTGTGAATATAGAAAAGACATGCACATGTTTTACTGAGGAAAGTAACTGTTCATTTAGTGAAAGACAAAATGCCATTGAGACTTGTTTTAAGATTATTAGCTATCTCTTGATTATAGAGGAAGAACTTCAGAAGTCCCAAGATCAGCAAGAAGCAAGTTACCAGAGAAAACTAATGCAACTGCACTTAAATGGGCAAAACACGCTGCTTAATGACATCCACAGTGTCCCAAATAATCTAACTACAAAACAGAAGCTAATCATGTTTTAACTATCACCGTACGCTTGTTTTTTCCCCTAAATAGCATACTGCTTAATATTAAGCTAAAAAGTTCCTGTCATTACTGAGCATACAGCAGGCTCTGCATGACACTTACAGGACAGTACACACTCCATATTCTCAGGCTGTGAGTCTGCCCTCCTGGGGTAGCACACATCCTCTGGGGAATGCACAAACAATCCAAGGAGAAAACAGAGAAGCATGGTGTCTTAATGCAAAAGCAACATCCAGAAATAGAGGTTATACTTATAGAGTATAGGACAAACAGCATACCCCCCCCCAGGCAATTTTCATACTACCCAGACATAGACGTTATTTCCACTATTTGGAAAGTGCAAATTAAACCAGGAAAAAAAAACAGTTGTCAATTTATCTTATTTTAGACAGCTTATTCAAGTTCTGTGGTTCCACACAGCAGAAATGCTCTACATAAAGTTGTTTCTATTTTGTTACTTACAGATACCTCTGCTATAGGTCAGAGTTTGACACAGCAAGGTATACAGAATAATCGCAGATACAAGAAAAGTTACGTTGCTGTATTCCAGCTTGAAGATCAGGATACTTTGAAAACTACACTGAACTTTATGTCAGCGGCACAGCAGCGAAACAACTCACACAGAAAGTAATTCACCAACAGTCCTATAAATACTGTATGGCTGCATTAATGTTAGGAAGAAATAACAGCTGAAGAAAAAAAAATATATTGCAGGATGGATATAAAGAGGCAGAGAAACAAAATGTCAATTTTGAAATTTAGTAACAGAAAGACATCACTGCCTCTGTCCTTTTAAGAGGCTACAGCATCTCTTGGTGAAGAGATAGGAACTACAGTACAACTGGCATGCTGACCATGTATCTTATTCAACCCATGCCACTGAATGCCTAAAAAATACAAAGGCAACACTCACTGCAGTTAAAACAGCAAGACAAACGTGAAAATGCTAACCAGGAAACTGGCTTCAACTTGAACTGACAGCACCCACTAATCATTATGCTTCCACAGGGCATTGGAGATACACACTATTTTGCATTGCTTCAAGACAGTGACTGCAAAAACAGTATGAGAAAAGGGAATGGGGGAACCTTCACAGTCAGGACAAGAACCCTGGTGCATAACCTATGCCTTTCCATCTTACAACATATAGTATGGGGAGAGAAAAGAAATGATGAACAACTCCTAGAAATCATCCTATTTGAAGTCTCCATTAGTACATCACTTAACAACTGTTTGCTATCCCAAGATCATACCACAAAGCTACCAGTCACATCAACATCTTCACCCTGCATCAGCCAGGGCTCTCAGGGTAATCAAGACCAACCTGCTCTGGTAAGGACCTGCAGCTGAAACAAGTCCAGAACATGCAGCACAAAAAATTTGTAATTCTAGGACCTCTATCAATTAATAGTTTCTATGCAGATCTTAATTAAACCCAAGCTTGAGCTTACTTTGAAATAAGCACAAGATGTACCTATTCTCTCTGACTCTCCTGCAGAAGTAGCTCTGCTTTGTCTCCCTTTTTGAAAAGGGGCTTGGAAAGAGGCAAGCGCATCTACACCTGTGAGGCCTGGTTGGTATGCATAAAGCTTGGGTGAACAACTGCAGAGTGACATGGCTCACATATGCACCTACTACTCATGTAAAACAACCAGTTTCAGGCCCAGCATTCAAACTATTCATTTTAATTTTCACTGCTGTAGCTGCACAAAAAAACAGTAGAACCATGGAGATTTAAAACAAACACAAACAAACAACCACCAACACACACACAAAAAGAAAACACAAAATACACAGGTATCAATGGCCTTACTGAAATGATGAGCAAACACACTTACTTAACTGTAGCTTTTACAAAATGATCTTTCCTTGGAAGAGAGGATTCAAAATTAAACTGACAGGAGTGCAAAAGAAGCAACAGGTGAAAATACACAAAGAACAGCTAAGCATGCATAAAGTAGTCTGATGTTGGAAACAGGAATACTTCCTCGCATGGGATATGATAATGTTTCATTTAGCTTTTAGACTGCTGAATTACTCTCATCAGCAGTGCAGGAGGGTGGTGATAGTCCACAAGTTAAAAGTTCAAGTACTTTATTTTCAACATACTGTCTTCTCATGTACATCGTCTTTTAAAAGAACTACTGTAGCTAATCTCAACCCTGTTCTTTCATATTTGATGCATAAACCGCATAAGAGTTCTACAACAGTGCTATGCAGAAGAGATTCAGAGACCACAGTATGCTCTGTGTACAATGAATGAGCTACTTGTACAGCCTCCAGATGTGCACACACACACAAAAGAAAAAGTCTTAAATTGAATCTCACAGATCAGCGCTGAACAAACACAACACCCAAACTGATCCTGCCTGTTTCCAAAGAGACCTCAGCACAACTCACCTAGGCTTTGCATATCCCCAGACACTAAGGCTTCTAATACGTCATTGTATTTCAAGCATTCCCCTCCTTCCCTCAGGGCCACTTTATAAAGATCCATAGCTGCTTTCAGTAAACATCTTCCCCATTTTCTCCACATCCCACATAATGTAAATGCGGTTGGAAAAAATGCACAGTTTTAGTTTTTCACCTCTGCTATTTTTCTTCATTCATACTTGAAGAAAAGCTTTAGCCTGTATCACACTGATACAGTCCTTGACAAGCATAAAAGTGTATTTACTTTTGTTTGGTCAGAGCACAGAAGTTTCCTCACTTACAGTACTTCCTGTGTGAGAGGAAAAGCTATAGTAAATCCCAATCATCTCTCCCTCTGTTTTGTTGGCTTTGGTTTAAACGTCTCCCGCAATTTTCTGCTTTTGGATGTAGTTCCCTTGTATGGGTAGTCCATGACACTCATATTGTGTAAGCCCGCGCTTACTGGCATTCCATCAATCTACTAAAACCATTATCCTGAACATTTGTTAGGGGCTCAATAAAACCAGATTCACACTCATTGGCGCACCTCAACCTACACCTGGATTCACTCCAATGCACTACTGATTCGCTCCTTCAGACGGTATGGGTGGGCGAAAACATGCTGACCAACAAGCTGGATCAACCAGCTCTTTCCCCAAAGTACACTAAGTTTAGCGTGCTTGAATCCCCAAAACCTTGAGATTATTCCGAGCATTTATGAAGTGTATTTAAATTGGACAATTTCACAAAACGCAGCTTGATTGAAACACTATAACAAAGAGGAAGAGGATAAAAAGGTCAGAAGAAGAAAGAAACCTTAAGGTTTTATCTGCCTTGATAACTGCGTGCCTCAGCACACTGCAAGCGACAGTGCTTTGAACTCAGGTCAACCGTTCTGGTTCAGCGAGGGCCAGCCCTACAGCCAACTACCCGGGGAGAGGGCTGCAGGGAGCCCATTAACAACTGCTAAGCCCTCCTTTTACAGTGGAAATCACGAGTAGCAACCCTGAGGCTGCCCTGGCCGCCGTGCGACTCATGGGACCCGCGCCCTTCCTGCGAGCCCGGGGCCACCGCGCGGTGCGGCCACCCGGCCGAGACCCGCACGAACCGCCGTCGTTCGCAGCCTCGCCACTACCCTCCGCTTCAGTGGGCGGCGGGGCTCGCCCCTGCGGCGAAAGCACGGGTTGCACTTTCACGGGAAGCCCCGGCTAGAGCTTCCTCAGAGGTGGCTCCGGGGCCCCTCCGGGACGGGCCCAGCCGTTGATACTCACGTATCGGCTCACGAGGGTCCGGAGGAGGCTGCAATCCATGGCGGGCTGGCGCCGCCGCCGCTGCCCGGGCACTCAGGACCGCGCCGACCGGTGCTCTCCGGTGCCGCCGGGCTCCCTGGCTCGCCTCACTTTCCACATGCAGAGAGCAACGCTCGCCCCACCAGACCGCCGTTACCCCGGCCCGGCGCTCGCCGCCGACCTCGGCTATGCCATGTGCTCGCCGCCGCCGCCACTGCGGCGCGGCGCCCCACGGCCCCTCATGCCCGGCACCGGCACCACAACAAGCACTTTGGCGGAGAGGAACCAGACAAAACACACCGCTCGCACGCCGTCCGGCCACCGACAAGGGCTGTCCCGGCGCCCAGGCACTTTAACCGGCGGGCGGGGCAGGGCACAGGGACCGCCCCCACGCCGCTCCCCCTCACGCACGCGCGCGCGCGCGTGCTCCCGGTACCCAGCCCGACCCCAAGCCCCGGCCCGGTTCGCGCAGCTCCGGCTTTGCTCTCGTCGGGCGGCCCGTCAGCGCGCGTGACGGGGTGGGGGGGGGGACCACAGGCATGCGCTCGCCGGCACCACCGCCTCCTTTCCCCCCCTCCCCTTCTTTTCCCACACACAACCGATCCTTGGTGTCCTGCCCACGGCCGTTAACGGTGGGTAACGGCTCCCGCTTGCTCGCGACTGGACTGAGGGTGAGCGGAGGTGGGGGGCGCATAAAACCTGCTGGGAGGAGAAAAGCACTTTAAAACCTTCTGCCCGCCTTCGCGCTATCCCCCATTCCCCCGTGCGGATCGCGGTGAAGCGGGACACGGGGTGGGAGAAGCGAGGCGGCCGCCCCATGCGAGGGAAAGGAAGGAAGCAAGTAAGCAAGCAAGCAAGCAAGGGGGAAGGTGAGGAGAGAGCAGCCGCCGCGCCCTTCCGGGGCCCTCTGGAACGACGGTGTTGGAGGGCTGCCCCTGGCAGCGCCGGGACGGAGGGCAGCCTTCAGCCGATGCCAGGAGCGAGGGCACTGTAGCTCTGCTGTGGTGGTTCGCCAGGGTGCGAGGTGTCCTTTGTGAGACCGCAGATGCTTTTAAATGAGTGTTACCTATTGCAGGCGGCTTGGCTGAACTGATAAAGGCAAAAAATTCTTCGCTCCCTCCCGCTTCTCTTCCTCTGCGTCCCGGCTGCTGAGGGAGGGCAGATGACAGCGGTGAGCTGCGGTGTTTTGTCGGGGCACGGAACAGGTGGAAGCTTCTCCTTTGGAAAGCGCAGCAGAAGCAGTAGAAGGAATCTCTTTTTTTCAGTAACTGAAGCCCTAATAAGCCTACAAACAGCAGAAATATAGGTGAAGGGATAAGAAGTCAGCAAGAATGTACACAGAGGGTAGGAGCCTATCCCGGGCTTTTCAAGTTAGCTGAAATAACACCTTTGAAGGCTTTTGTTTTCATGCCATTCATACCAAAGGACTCCCTCAAGTTTGCAAGAATCCGATAGGTCTCAGATAACTCATATGTTACTCTGTACACTAGATAAAAATCTGACTTAAAGCTAAATACTTTCTCCAAAATAGTTGGAATTTACTAATTTTATAACATTAGATATTTAACAAAAAGTGACTTTTAACAAAAAAGCAAGATCAAAACCATGTTATTGTTGTGAAAATCCATCCCTTTCTGTAGCAATGATCATGTAAGCTGTCCTTTATCTCCTAGCTCAGGGACAAAACTAGGCAATTTTTCTTTCTTTATGTGTTGTCACGATTCAGTAGGTCTTTGGGTACCATCAAATCTAAACCGAAGAGTAACTGAATTTCTTATACAGTGGAAAAATGTAGATTATGCTTTCTGAGATCATCACATAAATGCTAAGAGAAAGGACACAGGACTGATTCTTTACAGGTCACCTTTAATTTAAATGCATTATATATGTTCAGCATTTTTTTATTACTGGTTGGATTGCAAAATGTGTAATGCGCACTAAGTGCAGTGTGGTCAACCTAATGTTGCTGTTCAAACTCTAAAATGATGTTAGTCTAAACCCCAATTTTCTTCATCTTGGTTACTACAAATAATTTATATGCATTTTGCAGCATCTCCTGTTTTCATGCTCCTATTTACACACCTAACACTTCTGTAACATAGGTTTGGGTACTTACATTTCACTTTCAAGGCATGGCCACTGAAACAGAAAAGGAATTAAAAGCTGTGAAACAAAAATTTCTCACAAAATTTGTAATTCTGGATAAGTCAAAACTACATTCTTACCTGTTTGTTTGCTTGCATGAACAATTACATATTAATACTGTGTGTTTCATCAGTCTTTAGGAAATTAGTTTATTACAAAAAGCATAGAAGAACCTCATTAATGAACATGAAGTGATAATGTCAAACAAAATGCATAGCTTGCAAAGCTGAAAGCGGAAATTGTTTCAGTTGGTTTTTAGGATTATTCTCTGCCTAGCCATTCCATTTTCAAAGAATTCATGGAATATTCATATTTCATAATATTTTATGAGCTATTTTCCTTTAGTCAAATTGTGACATTTAATCAATCCAGTGTCTTTAATGACAATGCTTCTTACACAGATTTGGAATGAAAACAAACTGTCAAATTATGCAGAAAACTTTTTTTGTGTTTTTTTGTTTGTTTTTGTTTTGTTTGTTTGTTTGTTTGTTTTTAAATTTTCTTTCTTTTAATACTTGCAATAGCTTCTTTCATCCAAATACCACCATGTATTTTCCATGTAAGTAAGTGTCATTTCTTCATAGAGTGGGTAATAACTCCTATGTGTTAAAACCCACAATTATCTCTACATTGTTTCCATTAGAAAACCTGCGTGGGGTGCCCATGCTGCTTCGTGCACCGCAAGTAGCCGTTATGAAGGGAGGGAGCTTCACCTCATGATCTGGTAACAGTTAACACTCAGTGGTGATCATGATCATTGCAAGGACAGCTGTGAGCTTCCGAGCTTCTTGCTGTGTCTCCAGCTTAGGTAACCTAGATGAGCCTGCAAGAAACATTTCCCTTCCATCCAGAGCAGGGACCCACTAGTAAATCCCCTGTGGATGCAAAGGTTGACTGTATTCTCTTACGGTGAAAAGGGGACCAGAGTTCCTGTTCTCACTGACTGTTTCGGTCAAGGGCAGGGAGAAGGGAAATACACGCTCAGATACATATTTGCCATTTCCAGGCTACTGCTCAAGCTAAGCTGAGCCATTTTTCTGCCCTTCCCAGTGAACCCATGGCAGTATGCTGCCAAGAAAAATAGAAAAGGAGCACAGCTGGATCTGGGCACATACTGAGGTGAAATCCCAGCCTGCACTAGTTGTCCTTTGTGCCCATATTTCTGCAAAGAGGAAACCTAAATGTGCAGTCCAGATAAAAGCACTGATAGGCCACTGAAAGTTAACACAGCACACCCTTGCTGACTGAGTGGTGTTTGTGCAAGAAGAACTGAACGGCAGATATATATGCCTTTTTGGAGTAACAAGCTCCCCCACAGTTAGTACGCAACTGAGCACAGCGCTTAGGTTGTACTTTTAGACTTAGGTACCTCAAAGCTGCCTAAGTCAGGTGTAAGGTGCCTGAGTCCTTTATTAGATCTAGCCTGAAGTGACCTGCTAAAGGTCACGTTGTGACGTAACAGTCGAGCCAAAAGAGCAGCCTTAGTCATACTGCTCATGGCTCTGTTCTGCCTATTACGCAATGTTTCACTTTGAAGCAATTTATTAAACTAATAGTCTTTGAATATACCATCACATTTATTTCACTCCTCATTTCTCATTTTAAAAATAAATTCCTAAAATTACCTGTATACTGCCTCTACCTTGCATGACCCAGCTGTCTTTTCTAGATGTCTTGCTTCTTTTCTGACTGCACATTAGAGCTCCTCCTCTATTCCTCTCCATTTCTACCTCATATTCTTACAGAATGATTCCTTCTGATTCATTACTGAATTACTCTCAGCCAACTCCTACCTGCCCAGCTGATTTACCAAATGTTCTAGATCCTGCCACTTACACAGATTCTCACATCCCTTCTGATTTACTTACTGTATCAGCACAACTCTGCTTAAAACATCCCATTATTTGTTTAAATAGCATTAGATACCAAGTTGAATGTAGTAGTGTGCAAAAGACTTACTCTTTTTATGTACAGCTGTGTTTTCTGCTACTTTGCAATCCTTGTTGGGTTGCCCTGTTTTATAACTGCAGTCAAAATGTTGAGAGACTAGTCAAAGAGCAGCAGCTCACTTCATGCTGAATTCTTGAAGCAGTGATAGTCCATGGTTTAGTCTACTTCACCTTTGAAAGGTAAGAAGGCAGGATTTAGAGGTGGATCTGAATAAAGTTCAGGCACAATGGTGATATAGTATGCACTGATAATATGGTAGGCATCAAAGGCACTGGAGTTCTAGATTTTAAGATGTTTAATATCTGTTATTCCTGCTCCGTATTATGTTATAGTGACTATGTACCTCTAGTAGTTCTGGCCAAAGTGACTAAAAACTGTAAGTGGAAAAGTTGGCTTGGGCATGTGTGAGAACAGTCTGACGAGAGGGAAATAACAGGGATTGAAAAGCCATTTATTGTATGCAGCTCATCTGCTTAAGGAAATGGTGTATGCTTTGAATGAGTAGTTTATCCTGCAGTATTCCTGGCTTTTCCCCTACAAATTTATCATTTCTTAATTGTGTCTTTCCCTCTATTATGTTTCTGAAAAGCTAATCAAAAGAACCACTTCTTCTCTTTCTTGCATCTACACCATATATTTCAACTAGTTAATTTGTATTAACAAGGGAAATTGTTCTCTCAGTGGAACAGATGTTTATGCTTTGATCTATTGCAAACAGCATTTTCTCAGATCCTTCTGAATATTGGTTGTGAAAAGAGATACCAACACTAATTTTGAAGTCTTTGTATTATGTTAAAAATATTTCACTCCCTGGCATTTGTGATAGATGTACTTCATTTGAAGAAGAATGTAATTAATCGTTATTGTGGTGCTCCAAGGACTTACTTGTCCAAAACAGCTAACTGAAGGTGAAGCCAAGGTGTGAAGCCAAAGCATGGCCAGCATGGCACTGCTATAATGATGATTCTGTTAGAAGCACAGTGGCCCAGAGGACAAAGCATTAAGCACTGGATAATGAAGATCACTCTTGCTTGACATTCTTTGTCTAGATGTTTTTTTTCCAGAAAGTATGTGTGAAAATGAGACATATTTCTGACTCTCTGACCTCTCTGTTTCTAACCTCTGACAATAATGCATAACTTCTGTTATTCTCAAAAGCTAAATGCACTGTCATTATGACAAAACATGATTCCCACATCACTGCTAACAAAGATGACCTTTGTTGTACAGTTTCTTAACAAAATCCTCTAAAAGAAGAGAGTTTGGCTTCTAAGTATCTGACAATCAGATAAATGCACATCAGTTAAAATAAGTTGGCTGCAACCTTCTACCAGCTTAGGCAGCTCTCTGCAATTACAGCCAAGATTTGCTCATATGCGTTACCTGTGTATGCGTAACTTAGTGAATCATTGGGAAATTTTGGTCATCAGCAAATACATCTTTGCAAGAGATCCAGTCCCTGGTCACTGCAAAATAATCCTTTTCATCAGGAGCAGCACAGCATTCAGGAGGGTCTCGCCAGTGATACAAGGCAGTAGAAGATCCTGTCATGTGGACCATTTGGAAGACTTGACTTCACTGTGAGGCAGTGTATGAAACTCATTAAAAGGAAGCCCAGCCTCCACCAAAGGAAACTTCTCCTCCGATAAAATGCTGTTGGCTGCTATGGTTACTAATGTGATCTTCCATTTACTTCATTGTTCACTCACCTGCTTTCCCATTCAAACACCACACATGAGTACCTTCCAGAGATATTTGTTGTTGGAATAGTGAC